ACTCTACCGGGAAGAACATAAACAGGCCATGTGGCCAATTTTAAAACAACGTCCGCCCCTCTCGAACGAGTGAGTTTGCACACGTCGGGTTAGCCTGGTCCGGCCCCTTTCTATGTGGTTTTATGTAAACCTATGGAAACTCAGTTTGAATAGGGGTCACGTCAACCGCATTTCACCCACATGAAATGTGTTGTCCTTCTTATTTACACGAATTCTCTATTAAATAATAAAGTAAATATTTGTTGTTTTCTTCGCGTTGAAACAACCTTTCATCACTTTTAAAAAGGGAAAATCATCCAAAAGCATTCGCGCGCTTATCTCACTTTCGGTGAAGTGTCGTTCAAAAGGATTCCGGTAACTGCATCCGTTCAAAAAGAAAGACGAAAATTGCAACGCTCATTAGCAAGTCCGGTCGAGTATACTATAGCGGTCGGTCTATTTTGCGGATGGGGCTCTTAACAAATCGGCGGAAGCCAAGAGAGCAGCGAGCATTCGAACGCAACTTTGAAAGGGGGCACGTGCGCTTTGGCACTAAATCGTACGGTTGAGCTTTTATTTATGCGATCTGCGAAAAATGCAACTGCACCGAACCGGAGGAGGAAACCGTAAGTCTCTTTAAAACGCTAATACGGAATCTGATAAGACCCTCGGTGTTTATTGCTCTACCCCCTCGGATCTCCGAGATTTATTTGCACGAAACTTTAACGTTAACCAAAAGTGAACGAGGTTTACGTTAACCCATTTACATCATAAGCTTAGATATGTGCGGTGAAGACACACGGTTAAACCCGAAACTTTTAGTTCTAAGTCTAGTGTTAGTTCAAGTTTTAGTTCAATAAAAATGTACAACAACCTAAAGCCGAATAACAATTAAAAGTAGAATTAACACTTGCACTTATCGTCTTGAGAGACATGCGGCTAAATCCGAATGTTTCTAGTTGTAGGTATACTGTTAGTTCTAGTTTTATACTAGCAGTATAACTGGAACTAACACTAGACCTAGAACTAGAATCATTCCGGTTTAGCCGTATTGAGAGACGTGCTAGAATAATTCGGGTTTAGCCGTCTTTACAGACGTGCTGCTAAACCCGAATGTTTCTACATAGTTCTAGGTCTATTATTATTATTATTATTGCTGCCGGGCTGAGGAGGGCGGCCCCTCTCGTTACCGCGACCTATAAGATCTATTGTAACTTTAGTCCTCCAAAGGTTTAGGGCAAATGTAGGTCCTTAATGAACCTTAGTATTGTCCTGAGGTCTTGAACCTTTATGTCGGTAGGTAACAGGGGAGTTTTACCGAAGACGTTGTGCCTTAGACGGCCTCTGGCGACGCAATTGCACAGTATATGTTCAGCAGTTTCTGACTCGTCGTTGCATAGTCGACAAGTTTGATCCTCAGCTTGTCCAATGTGGAAGAGGTGGTATTTTAGGGGCACATGGCCGGTTAGGTAGCCTGAGAGCGTTCTTAGATCCCCTTTGCTGAGGCATAAAACCTCTTTGGTTTTGTTTTGCGACGGAGTTATCATACTCTTCGCTTGTCTGTGACCTGGAAGTTCTTTCCAGCGTAAGGCTATCTTTGAAGCCTCCCAGTTGTTGATTATTTGTTTTAGGTGGCTTTTTTGTAGTCCACATCCAGGTTGGGGTCCAATGAAGGGCGTGTTTGCTGCCTCTTTGGCCAGCTTGTCGGCCTTCTCATTGCCCTCAATGTTGCTGTGACCTGGAACCCACCATAGGGTAACATCATTGCCCCTAGCGAGTTCTCTCAGGTTGTTGGTGCACTCTCTGATCAGTGCGGAGCCACACGTGTAGGCCTGAATTGCCTTTAAGGCGGCCCGACTGTCTGTGAAAATGTTTATGGATGCACCTTTTTGTCCCTTCTGTAGGTTCAAAGCGGTGCAGAAGTTTATAGCAAGAACTTCTGCTTGGAAAATTGTTAAGTCCGAGCTGAGGGGCAATTTGATGTGGCTATTTGGTCCACTGATGCCCATGCCTACTCCAGATCTTACTGTCTTTGAAGCATCGGTGTACCAGGCTAGGGCTCCTCTTTTTAGTTGAGGCCCTCCTTTCGCCCAATCATCCCTGCTACTAAATATGACCTTATACGGTTGGTTGAAATTGTATTCCGTCGGTATAAGGTCCGTTTTAATTTCAATCAGGTGATTTAGACATGGGTCTTTGAGGATCTCGAGGTGTCCTCTGAGATTACCCTGCATCAACTTGAGTGAAGAAACTGTTTTCAGTGATAAGGCACTTAAGGCTGCCTCCTTTTGTATATATATGTGGAGCGGTGTGAGACCAAGTAGGGCTTCCAAAGCAGCCGTCGGACAGGATCTCATTGCACCCGTTATGTTAAGACATGCTAACCGCTGGATTTGTGCCAGCTGTTGTTGAGCTGTCTTATGTTTTGTTTTTGGCCACCAAACCAATGAGGCGTAGGCGACCATGGGTCTGATTATTGCTACGTAGGCCCAATGAGCCATTCGTGGTTTGAGACCCCAGTTCCTTCCTAGGAGCCTGCGGCAGATCTGGTTTGCCATGATGGCCTTTTTCCTCACCTTATCTAAGTGTGAGTTCCAGTTTAGTTTACTGTCAAGTATTACCCCTAGGTATTTAGTTTCTGTTTTGAGGTTAATAGTTCTGCTTTCAATGGAGGGTGCTTTTATTTGTAGCTTCCTTCTCCGAGTGAAAGGGACTATTTCGATTTTATTGGGATTGATGCTGAGCCCATTGCTTCTGCACCAAGTACTGGTGAGTAGTAGGGCTTTCTGCATTAGCTGAGTTATGATTGAATCATATTTACCTCGGATTGTGATTACCAGGTCATCAGCATACCCTTGTATCTTAAATCCGTTTTTAGTTAGGGTGTTCATCAAGTCATCAACTACCAGGCACCATAATAGAGGTGATAGCACTCCCCCTTGGGGACATCCTCTTAGCGCCTTTATAGTCAGCGACTCGCCTCCCAGACTGGCTGTGATCTGCCGACTTTTCAACATGGCTATACACCACTTGATTGTCGACGGATGTATGTCTTTTACGTTTAAAGCCTTCTCTATGGATTCATATGAGGTGTTATCAAACGCACCCTCTATATCTATGAAAGCACAAAGGGCTATCTCTTTGGTTGCAATTGCCTCCTCTAAGGTGCTAGTCAAAGCATGGAGAGCGGTAATTGTTGATTTTGCTTTCTGGTAAGCATGTTGGCTAGGGTGGAGTGGATTTGTGAGAAGCACTCCATTCCTTAGGTATTGATCGATTACCTTTTCCATCCCTTTGAGGAGAAATGAAGTTAGGCTAATTGGTCTGTACGCCTTGGGGTCCGCGTTTGAACGCCTACCACCTTTAGGTATGAAGACCACCTTTACTTTCCTCCATAGAGTGGGTATATAGCTAAAGATGTAGCTAGCTGTATATAGGGATATTATTATTGGGAGAAGTTCTTCTAAGCCTTTTTGCAGAAAGTTCTAGGTCTAGTGTTACTTCTAGTTTTACACTAGCAGTATAACTGGAACTAACACTAGACCTAGAACTAGAAACATTCAGGTTTAGCCGTATTAAGAGCCGCACGGGTAAACCCGAAACTTTCTAATTGTAGGTCTAGCGTTAGTCTTACTTTTGGTTCAAATAAAATATACAACAACCCTACGCTGAATAACTAAGACTAGAACTAACACTAGACTTAGAAATAGAAACAATCGGATTTAGTCGTGCGTCTGAAGACGCATATCTAAAGATACTGCTTGCAGATGACTATATTGCTAATAGAAGACTAGAATTTTCTTGCAGAAGACTACCTACTGTTTGCAAACCATTAGATACTTATGGTAGAAGACTAGATACTACTTACAGAAGTCTACATACTGCTTGCAGAGGACTACCTACTACATGGGAACCATTTGATACTGCTGCCAGAAAACTAGATAGAATTTACAACTTATTTTATGTAAATCTTACTGTCGTTATGTTTAATCGTAACTTACCCATAATGTAACAACTTACTTAAACTAATTCATCAACAAAAACGCCTCTGCCACCCCACACACACATACTGTTCGTCTTCCTTAGTCGAAATCTTCTCAAATATACATCGAATGGAAAATGTTCCGTCATCAGCTGGCCATAGCCATCCATCTTTCATTAACCCATACACCCCTCTTTTGAACGCACTAGAAAATTCTTTTCACGCATTTTGTATAGTTTTTTATGATGTTTCCATGTGTAGGCATTAGTACTACAGCTCGACAACCGAGACAAACACGGTTATCTTTAATCTATATATGTGTAATAAAAAAAGTTTGTTAATGCGGGCTACTTTATTTCTTCTGAATGATGCAAATGAGTTAATAATTGAGAAATATATCCCAACCAAGTTATCGAAGAATTAAATATGTTTTAAATCGATGTTTAAAGGATCGAATTATTGCTTTTAGAGAGTTATCTTATTGTTGGTTTTATCGGATTGAGACTTCCTGAAGTTTATAGCACAGAAATAAAGTTTATTATTATCACACATCCCTCTCTCTAAAAATATCGCCGAGTTGTTCTCCGCGAAATCATCTGATTATAGATAGACCCGACCGGTTTTACGGCTTGTATCAGATAAGTTCGCAAAACCTTTTCCCCTTCAGCGCAGAAAACGCAACCCTCCAATTCCGTAGTAACAGCGTTAGGAGGCGGACCTTTCCAGACGAGGGGGATAATATGGGATATCTTTCGAAGAACACCAAACGCCGTCCAAACGTAATCGAATTCTTTTATTTGCTTTTTTCTCAGAATAACACAAATTTTCCAAGAACGTATTTCTCCCCGCAACGAGATTTTTTTTAATTCAATCTCGAACTTTGATATTATTAAGTTTTTTGGTTAACAACTTTTCGAACCATCCTATATTTTCCGACTAAAATTAAATCAAAAACGATGCAAACCTATATTTAGCTTCTAAATCTAAACAAACTAAGAGGAAAATCAACCGCTGCTGCTTCGTTCAGGCTCAAAAATCATTCAATTGCAATCGAGGTGAGGTCTTGAAAATGTCACAAATAAACGAATTATTAAAATCAAAAAGGTTGGAACAGATGAAACGTGTTTTTAGCACTGAATCTACCACAAGTTCATGTCAATACACAAATTATGGAAAACAAGAAAATTTAAATCAAGTCCCATATAAATATAACCGATTCGAACTCGTCCTTAAATTACTCGAATTAGTAAGTTTTAATGTATTTCTTAAAATCTTAATTTATTTATGTTTTTTACGTTTTAGGGAACCGACATAATCAATATCGGCCTCTACTCCAGTTATTTATCAACAACATTCGATAAGCACAACATCATCAATTCACAAAATGTAAACAACCAAACTGAAATATGGGATCCAAAAATTGAACGCGATTACGTGACAATAAAAATTTTCCCCAATGTTGTTTTTGGATCGTTTATAATCATTGTTGGGGTTATTTTAATCAGTTATTTACTCGGTCAGGTTATTTCGGAGGTGATCGGAAGAATATTTAACACGTTAGCGTTAGTTTTGCACTTTATTTCCGGTTGTATCACGTTGAACGATTGGATTTTTACTGTTAAAACGGAAAAAAATGCTTCCGCTTGTAATACCCTTCTCGCACAAGTTATTACAACGTTTCTATGTACCTTTATGTACTCATTCGATTTATTTTTAAGTTTAAAACGTGCTTTGAACTATGATGATGTGGACGGTTAATATGTTCAATACGCAATTTCAAATCAATTTGTATCCCAAAATTATGGAACAAAATGTCCAATTAGATTCTATTAACTAGTATACTATATTTGTAGAATTAGATTTTATATACAAAATCATGTTTGATAATAACTGATTGAGAATCGATATAAATTAAAGATTAAATTAACGAGAATTTATAATAAAGTTACTCGAAAAATAAAATATGCATTGAAATGAAATTTCTTTATTACTTGATACAATAATAATAATCTTTATTATCCTAATCTTATTAACTTAAAGTTTTGAAAGTGAAATGCTTATATAATAATATTAATACTGCAAAAATACCTATCAATATACCTTGGTAATACTTGAGCTACTGTCTCGTCAGGTGATGATACATGATACATTAATACACATTTATATGTAATCTATGTAACTAATACACTGCCTATGTAAAAGCATGTAAAGTTAAGAAATCGTATTAAAAATCAATTGATATAAGAAAATTAATAAAAAGCATTTAAGACATCAACGTTATTGTTATGTTTCTTTGATTTTAATTGTTCATGTTTATAATCAGGAATGTAATAGCGATAAACGTGTAAATAATGCATCAAAAATTAATTGATACCCTGGAATTGATTTTAAATGAATCACGTGAGGGTTGATTTTAGGATAATTAATACCTTCTTGGCGACATCACGACTACGATGGACGTTTCAACGTACTCGTCGTACATCAACCCCGAGCTACGTGATCTGAACGTCTTTAACCTTTTGGGGGGATGTCTGCCGGTGCTTTTTCATTCCACCATGTTGAAAGGTCAACTTGAAATGTTACCCGGTTCATATTTAATGATTTTTATTAACTTAAATTATAAAATTTTCTTTTAATTTAAGCATTGTTAGAAGCGTTTTTATACAAATGAAACGGTCTGAAATGTATAATTAATAAATAATTTCAGGAATAGCACAATAATTAACACGTAATAATAATAATTGGAGTGTTAATTATTTAGTGGATTTTGTCAGTCGACAAAATTACTCGTTAAATTGAAATGAGAGGAAATTCTGTAATAATATAATTACCAACACCCAATCTGTACGGTAACTAACTGATAAAATTATTATAATTTGTACAATGTTGTGCAGAAAAATTCATTGAATTAAATAAATCGTGATGATATAATGGTTCGAGACTGAATCATTTTCTTGACTCTTATCTTTGCCACAAACTATTTGTGGATTGGCTGATCGTTGTGAGTTGAGGCTTTGTTAGATGGTTTGCTGACATAGAATGGCATTAGGTGAATTACCTGGAAGTCGGTCGTATGGGAGAAAGGTAATCATCGGTATACCAGTTTGTGCTAGTAATCTAACAATGATGGTGATTGATCGAAGGACCGGCGTCGCTTCTTCGAGAAATGGAGGCGTCCAGCGCCCTCAATATGCTAATTCCGACGTTCACTTCTCGCCGTTTCGAGGGCAAATCACCCCTAGGGTTAATTTCGAAAAGGGATTATATGGCAATAACACTATTATCCGGACCCGGACGGTTATATTTAAGTCGGGATTACTTGGTGACCGCACTAAAGCCAATTTAACGCTAGAATACGTTATCGTTCTTACACAATTTCGATCATGTGGAAACCAAAATCTATTACAATTCTTATTACATCAAATTTGGATAAAGAGTAATTTTAATTCTTAACATTAACTCAATTGCCACCTACAAGAAAATCAAGACGAAGATATATACAGCAATTCTACCAGAACAACAGTTTGATTTTATAGACCCCAGTATCACCAAAATAGAACGTTAATTCTTCAAGTACCAGTTAATGAAGCACCTTGCCAAGATTTTGTCTCCTTTACAAGTAAAATAAACCCTATACAAATCATATGTCACAGATTTTACGCATTTTGTGAAATCAATCAAAAGTATGAAGTATTCCCAGGATATCCTGGTAAGTTTCGATGTGAAACCTCCATTTACTAGAATACCAATCAAAGATGCCGTGGATCATCTCTCTCATCGGTAATCGCCATTTTCTAAATGGAGATGTTTAAACAGTTAAGGAAGAGTTAATCAAAACTACGGTTTCGTTATGTTAATGACGCCTTTGTGATCTGGTAGCATGGAAAAGATCATCTTCAGAACTTCCTAGACTACCTGAACTCCCAAAACTGTTGCTGAACAGTTACCTTTCTTGGATGTTTTTGTTAATAGGAAGACAGAAGGAGAAAGATTCGGGTTTAGCCATCTTGAGAGACGCACGGCTAAACCTGAATGTTTCTAATTCTAATGTTAACTCTATTTGTGGTTACTAGTGGTTATTCAGTACTAGGTTGTTCTATATTTTTATTAAACTAAAAGTAGAACTAACACTAGACCTAGAACTAGTACACTAGTATACAATTAGACGCTGAAAAATAAGTGATTTTTCAATTATTTTTTTTTTCATTAAGATGCAATTAATTTCAAACATTTTATTCATTCACTACTATTTGCTCTTTGTTTTATACTATAAAAATATATTGAAAAAGTTTTCCATGCTGCAAGATTAATGATCAAATAAAAACCATATGAAGGGTCCAGGGGAAAAACGTGATAAGTCACAAATGCGTAATTTCATAAGAGACCTATTTTAAAGTTACCAGACTTTTTCTAGGCCGATGGAAAGTAATTCTTCGATTTTGCTATGGTAATTAATATTCGAATTTATTTTTTATTGATTCTGTGAACACGATAATTCTTAAATGTTTGCGTTCTACGCGTAAATAAAGTCAGACTAGGGTAACAAATAGAATTACAATGCAAGAAAACGGTAAGTCCCACACTTATCATCTTTTTGCTCTTTACCAAAGAAGAGTTAATGGAAAAAAATTTAATATTTGTGGATAGATCAATGCAATAATAAACACAGGTGCTTATAAAACAAACAAAAATATAACTACATTATTTAAAGTATCAAAATCAATTTTATTAACGAAATCTGTAACAAATGAATGTTCTTATTTATGTGGTAAAGAATAAAAATATTCGGCAGCTTTATCGCCACAAAACCTTTTGAGGAACTGTAAATTTTGATATTTTTTAATAATATAGAATAGAAATTTCTATGTTATAGTTAATTTAAACATACGATCGTATAAATGCTGTGGTAATGAGAATTCGTTTGGACGTAATTGTTGAGATGGTTTAGAACGTTTCCTTTTAGAAGTTTTCCGTGATTCACTGAACCAAGGACCATTATAGGCAGTTTTGTACCGTATAACATCAGAATCTTCCTGGTTAATATCTATAATTCTGACGGGTCTTGATTTAAACGGTAATTTTTTTTTATAAAGAGTGTCCAAGTAAAGGAGGTCCAGGCGGTCCAGCTTCGAAAGAAATTTTGCTGAACTGGAATTACATGAATATCCGTGCATTTTTAAATACTTCCAGCCATTCATCGGGATGTTCCACCCTAATCTTTTGATTCACAAGAGCCATGTTCTTATCACACTCTAGGTATGAGTGTCTCCTTATGGGAAATGTCATTTTCAATGATGTCAATTTGCGTTCTTCGTGTACTACGTGATGTAAAAAACGAAACATTGTCACATTTTTGTTTTGGCCACCACGAGAGTCACAAAATATCTCAAGTTCTTTCACTTTAGTGTCTAAAATGTTATATATGAAGTGGTGAAATAAGGAGCAAACATCATAGCTACCTTTTTTACCAACAGTTTCTGGGTAGACGTAAAACACGCTTTCACCAGTTGACAATATATGGATATTGAAAGCAAATACAGAAAGTTGGGGACTGGCAAATTTTTACCAAAATCTAAGCAGATTGCTTCTCTAGTTTCAGATTTCTTACACGACTTCCTAGAATTTCGCTTTTTTCTATAAAAGGTATCCGTTTCATTTCTTATTTGTGATAGTAAACTCTTCTTTCTTGCTGCAAACTCATCACAGTTGCTACACGTATCGGTACGTGGGTAACCAAACGCTATGTTGAAGTCATTATTGAAGATTGTTCTATATGTTTCATAAGAAATCTTCAGTTCGCCATGAATTTCTTTAAACATCAAAAACAACTTTTTGATATTTAATTCTTCAGTCAGATATGTCTTAGTGGAATCGTGCAAACTGTAGTGACTAGATCTTCCTTTCAGAGATTTAATATGAGCATGAACAGCACTCTTCACCTCTTCAGAAATTTTGTTGGGGCGATTTTTGTGTTTGCCTCTTATCCTTTGGTGCTGTTCCGTAATTTTTTAACGATGCTAGTATATCGACTTTTGATCTCCCTATACCATGCAGAGCCATAAATGTTACCTTACAGACAACTTTTTCTTCCACATTTTCATCCATGACTACGCGGACTTTATAACAGTAACTAGCTTCCCGAAATAACACTTCTGCTTCCGGTTTTCTGTTCCTTCTTCGCCGAATTGGCAATATAGATATTAATCCTGCCAAATGCAAATTTTGTTCGTCATTTGACTTTAATTTATTAAAATGATTAATAATTTTTTCTTTACTTTTTTTAGATAATAGTTGTTCAAAACATTTCTTCTTGCATGTGCAGGCTCTTCCTGCTTCATGGGTTTGTAACCGCAATTTCTTACCGACCTCAGTAATTCTTCCAAATATTTTTCTTTTCTTTGTCTTCAACTCTTTACATCCACCGCTATCATCTTCACTTAAACCTACAGATGGACTTTCAGACATTTTCAGATATTATACAACACAAAAACCACAGAACTACTATATTGTTACTAACAATGTGTTGATTACGTCGTCAAGACGAAAAAGAACACGTTTTGTTGCAACAATAATATTAACAATAGTAGTTATTTAGGGCTTAATGCCGCGATACACATTATATTTTTTCTGCAATTATTACTATTTTATTAAAGTATTTAAACCGTTTTGAATTACGTTTACCGGCTGTCACTGTCAACTAAAAATTTAATAAATGACAAGTAATACCAACCTAAATATTGTTGTCATTGTATATTTGTTATTCGTTTAAATGGACTGAAAAAAGTCTGCTAACATATCTTGGGATACTATTAACCACAAAGAATTATGATTTTTTTGGACTTAACGGTTTTTTATACTGTTTTAGATGGACTTGCCATGTTTTTCCCCTGTGCATCTAAACTTATTTTGTGAATATCTCAAGACTAAACATGTTTTCATCTAAAACTCATTGATTATCTTGTAGGTCGTAATTTTTACT